ATGAAACTGGACCACTTTCATATACCATACACAAAAATAAATTCAAAATGGGTGAAAGACCTAATGTGAGACAGAAGTCCATCAAAATCCTAGAGGAGAACACAGGCAGCAAACTCTTTGACCTAGGCCACAGTAAATTTTACTAGACATATCTCCAGAGGCAAGGGAAACAAAAGCAAAAATGAACTATTGGAGCTTCATTAAGATAAAAAGCTTCTACTCTGCCACCATCTTGTCTCCTCCATTCTCTTATACCATACACAAAGATAAACTCAAAATGGATGAAATACCTAAATGGGAGACAGGAATCCATCAAAATCCTAGAGGAGAACAGAAGCAGTAACCTCTTCAACCTTGGCTGGAGCAACTTCTTCCAAGACATGTCTCCAAAGGCAAGGGAAACAAAAGCAAAAAATGAACTATTGGGACTTCATCAAGATAAAAAGCTTCTGCACAGCAAAGGAAACAGTCAACAAACTAAGAGAAAACCCATGGAATGGGAGAAGATATTTGCAAATGACATATCAGATAAAGGGCTGGTATCCAGGATCTATAAAGAACTTCTCAAACTCAACACCCAAAAAACAAATAATCCAGTCAAGAAATGGGCAGAAGACATGAACAGACACTTCTCCAAAGAAGACATACACATGGCCAACAGAGACATGAAAAAAATGCTCCACATCACTTGCCATTAGGGAAGTGCAAATCAAAACCACAATGAGATACCACCTTACACCAATCAGAATGGCTAAAATTAACAATACAGGGGACAACAAATGTTGGTGAAGATGTGGAAAGGGGAAACCCTCTTACACTGTTGGTGGGAATGCAAGCTAGTACAGCCACTCTTGAAAATAGTATGGAAGTTCCTCAAGACGTTAAAAATAGAGCTACCCCATGATCCAGCAATTGTGTTACCTTGTATTTACTCCAAAGATACAGTTGTAGTGAAAAAAAGGGCCACAGGCACCCCAATGTTCATAGCAGCAATGTCCACAATAGCCATACTATGGAAGGAGCTGAGATGCCCTTCAACAGATGAATGGATAAAGATGTGGTATATACATATAATGGAATATTGCTCAGCCATTAGAAAGGATGAATACCTACCATTTACATCGACATGGATGGAACTGGAGGGTATTATGCTAAGTGAAATAATTCAAGCAGCGAAAAACAATCATCATATGGTTTCACTCATATGTGGAATATAAGGAATAGTGCAGAGCACCATAGGGGAAGGGAGGGAAAACTGAATGGGAAAGAATCAGGGAGGGAGACAAACCATGAGAGACTCTGGACTCAGGGAAACAAATTGACGGTTGCAGAAGGAAGGGGGGTTGGGGATGGGGTAACTGGGTAATGGGCATTAAGGAGAGCACATGATCTGATGAGCACTAGGTGTTATACGCAACTAATGAATCATTGAACACTACATCAAAAACTAATGATGTACTATATGTTGGCTAATGGAACTTAATTAAAAAAGACAAAAGCCTTCTGCACAGCAAAGGAAACAGTAAACAAAAGTAAAAGGCAACCCATGGAATGGGAGAAGGTATTTGCAATTGACCTATTAGATAAAGGGCTAGTATCCAAAATCTATAAAGAACTTATCAAACTTAACACCCGAAGAACAAATAATCCAGTCAAGAAATGGGCAGAAAATATGAACAGACATTTCTCCAAAGAAGACATACAGGCCAACAGACACATGAAAAAGTGCTTAACATCACTCATCATCAGGGGTATGCCAATCAAAACCATGATGAGATACCACCTCACTCTTGTCAGAAGGCCTAAGATGAACATCTCAGGCAACAACAGATGTTGGCAAGGATGCAGAGAAAGTTGAACCCTTCTTACATTGTTGGTGGGAATTCAAACTGGGGCAGCCACTTTGGAAAAAAGTATGGAGGTTCCTCAAAAAGTTAAAAATAGAGCTACCCTACGACTCAGCAATTGCACTAACAGGTATTTACCCAAAGGATACAAAAAATACAGATTCAAAGCGATACTTGCACCCTGATGTTTATAGCTGCACTATCAACAATAGCCAAAATATGGAAGGAGCCCAAATGCCAGTCAATGGATGAATGGATAAATGAATGAATGGATAAAGAAGATGGGCATGGAATATTATAATAGAATATTTACTCAGCCACCAAAAAGAATGAAATCTTGCCATTTGTAATGAATGGATGGAACTACAGTTTATTATGCTACCCAAAATAGGTCAGTTAGGGAAAGACAAATATCATATGATACCACTCATATGTGGAATTTAACTAACAAAACTGATGAACATAGGAGAAGGGAAGGAAAAATAAAATAAGATAAAAACAGAGAGGGAGGCAAACCACAAGAGACTCTTAACTATAGGGACAAACTGAGGGTTGCTGAAGATGAGGTGGGTGAGTGGATGCGGTAATTGGGTTATGGGTATTAAGGAGGGCACTTTCTGTGGTGAACACTGGGTGTTATATGCAGCTGATGAATCACTAAATTCTAGCCCTGAAACTAACAATACACCATACGTTAACTAAATTGAATTTAAATTTAAAAAAAGAGTATTCATACTTGCTTTTTTTCCTGGTCTTGGGGGAAATTTTTCAGTTTATCATCCTTACTTACAATATTAGCATGGGTTTTTCTCAGATCCCCTTTATGAAGTTGAGGAAGTTTCCTTCTATTCTTAGTTTGTTGTTTGATTTTATCATGAAAGGATGTTAGATTTTATCAAATGCTTTTTCTATATTATTGAAATTATCCTGTGACTTTTGTCTTGTATTTGATCAATATATTACACCGAATTTCATATGTTGAACCAACCTTACATTCCTCAGATGGTTCACATTTGATCATGGTGTGTAATTATTTATTTTTATGTTATTGGATTCATTTTGCCAGTAGTTTGTTAAGGATTTTGCATCTGTATTCATAAAGGACATTGATCTGTAATTTTCTTTTCTTGTGATATCTTTGCCTGATTTTGGTTTCATGGTAATACTTCTCTCATATTTGGGAAGTATTTCCTCCTATTCTACCTTTGTAAGAGGTCTTAGACATTCGATAGTATTTATCAGTGAAATCATATGAGTTGGGTTTTCTTTAATGGGAAGTTTATTATTGTTATTGTTACCATTATTACTATTTTACTTATAGATATATTTCAGGTTTTCTATTTCTTCATGAGTTAGTTTTGTAGTTATGTTTTTTATGAATTTGTTAATTTCATCTAAGTTATCTGATTTGTTGCCATACAATTATTTACATCATTTCTTTTTAAATTAATTTTAATTTTAATTCTGGTACAGTTAGCATACAGTGTAATATTAGTTTCAGGTGTACAATATAGTGATTCAACAATTCCATATATCACCCTGTGTTCATCACAGTATGTATACTCCTTAATCCCCATCAACTATTTCACCCATTCCCCCACCCACCTCCCCTCTGGTAACCATCTGTTTGTTTTCAATAGTTACCAGTCTATTTATTGGCTTGTTTGTTCCTCTTTTGTTTTTTTACTTTGCTCATTTGTTTTGTTTCTTAAATTCTACATATGAGTGAAATTATATGGTATTTGCCTTGCTCCAACAGACTTATTTCACTTAGTACTATACTCTCTAATTCTACCCATATCATTGCATATCACAAGATTTCTTTCTTTCTTATGTCTGAATAATATTCAATTCTCTATATATATACCACATCTTCTTTATTCATTAATCAGTCGATGCACATGGGCTGCTTCCATAATTTGGCTATTGTAAATAATGATGCAATTAACATATGGATGCATGTATCTCTTTGAATTAGTGTTTTTGTGATTTTGATTAAATACCCAGCAGTTCAATTTCTCAATCATACAGTAGGTCTATTTGGAAATTTTTGAGGAACTTCCATACTGTTTTCCTGAGTGGTTGCACAAGTTTGCATTCCCACCAACAGTGCAAGGAGGGTTCTTTTTTCTCCACATCCTCATGAACACTTGTTCCTTGTGTTTTCTATGTTAGCCATTCTCACAGGTGTGAGGTGACATCTCATTGTAGTTTTGATTTGCATTACCCTAATGATGAGTATCTTTCATATGTCTGTTGGTCAACTGCATGTCTTCTTTGGAGAAATTCTTCATGTCTTATGCCCATTTTATAATTGGATTATTTGTTTTTTGGCGTCAAATTGTGTAAGTTCTTTATGTAGTTTGGATACTAACCCTTCATCAGAGATGTCATTTGTGTACTATCATTTCCCATTCAGTAGGTTGCCTTTTAGATTTTTTTGATGGTTTCCTTCTCTGTGCAGAAACTTTTTAATTTGATGTAGTGCCAAGTTTATTTTTGCTTTTATTTCCCTTGTGTCAGAAGACATATCTAGTAAAATATTACCATGACTGGTATCAGAGACCTTACTGCCTGTGTTCCCTTCTAGTATTTTTATGGTTTGCAGGTCTCATACTTAGGTCTTTCATTCATTTTGAGTTTATTTTTGTGCATGGTGTAAGAAAGTGGTTATTTCATTCTTTTGCACAGGGCTGAGCAGTTTTCCCAATACATTTTCTTGAAGAGACTATCTTTTTCCCGTAGTATATTATTTACTCATTTGTCAAAGATTAATTGACCTTATAGTTGTGGGTTTATTTCTGGGTTTTATATTCTGTACCATTTATGTGTCTATTTTTGTGCCAGTACCATACTGTCTTGATTATGACAGCTTTGTAATATAACGCTAAGTTGGAAATTATGATACCTCCAGCTATCCTTCTCTTCTTCAAGATTGCTTTGTCTTTTTGGCATCTTTTATGTTTCCATATAAATTTTAGAATTGTTTGTTGTAGTTCTGTTGATAGGGATTACATTAAATGTGTAGATTGCTTTGGGTAGTATAGACATTTTAACAATTTTGTTCTTCCAATCTGTGAGCATGGAATGTCTTTCCAATTCATGGTTTCATCTTCAATGTCTTTCATTAGTTTTCCATTTTTTCAGAGTACAAGTCTTTCACCTATTTGGTTAAGCTTATTCCTAGGTATTTACTGTTTTTGATACTCTTGTAAATGAGATTGTATTCTTGATTTCTCTTTCTGCTGCTTCATTATTAGTGTATAGAAATGCAACAGACTTCTGAACATTGTTTTTTTTTTTAATCCTGTGTCTTTACTGAATTCATTTATCAGTTCTAGAAGTTTTTTGGTGGAGTTTTTAGGGTTTTCTATATATAGTATCATGTCATCTGCAAATAGTGAAAGTTTTACTTCTTCCTCACCAATTTGGATGCCTTTTATTTCTTTTTTTTATAATCTAATTGCTGTGGCTAGGACTTCCAGTACTGTGATAAATAAAAGTGTTTAGAATGGCCATCATTGTCTTATTCCTGACCTTAGGGAGAAATGCTCAGTTGTTCTACATTGAGTATGATGTTTGCTGTGTGTTTTTCATATATGACCTTTATTATATTGAGGTATGTTCCCTCTAAACCTACTCTGTAGAGGGATTTATCATGAATGGATATTGTACTTTGCCAAATGTTTTTTTCTGCATCTATTGAAAGGACCATATTGTTTTTATATTTTGTCTTATTGATGTGATGTATCACATTGATTTGCAAATATTGAACCACCTTGAATACTGCAAATAATTCCCACTTGATCATGGTGAATGATTTTTTTTAATGTGCTGTTGGATTCTGTTTTTTAGTATTTTGTTGAGGATTTTTGCATCCATGTTCATCAAATATACTGGTGTGTAGTTCTATTTTTAGTGGTATCTTTTAAAAAATATTTTATTTATCTATTTTGACAGAGAGAGAGAGACGGTGAGAGAGGGAACACAAGCAGGGGGAGTGGGAGAGGGAGAAGCAGGCTTCCTGCCGAGCAGGGAGCCCAATGTGGGGCCCGATCCCAGCACCCTGGGACCACGACCTGAGCTGAAGGCAGACGCTTAACGACTGAGCCACCCAGGTGCCCCTTTAGTGGTATCTTTATCTGATTTTGGTAACAGAGTAATGCTGGCTTTATAGAATGAATTTGGAAGTTTTCCTTGCTCTATTATTTTTTGGTATAGTTTGAGACGAATAGGTATTAACTCTTCTTTAAATATTTGGAAGAATTTGCCTGTGAACACATTTGGTCCTGGACTTTTGTTCATCGTGAGTTTTTTGATTACTGATTCAATCTCCTTCTTGGTGGTAGGTTTATTCAAATTTTGTTTCTTCATGTTTCAGTTTTGATAAGTTATATGTTTCTAGGAATTTATCCATTTCTTCTAGGTTGTCCAGCCTGTTGGCATAGTGTTTTTCATAATCTATTTTTTTAATTTCTGTGGTATTGGTTGTTAGTTCTGCTCTTTTATTTGTAATTTTATTATTTGTGTCCTTTTTTTTGAGTTTAGCTAGAATTTTGCTTATCTTTTCAAAGAACCAACTCCTGGTATCATTGATCTGTTTTTTTGTTGTTGTGCTTGTGCGTGTGCATGTGTGTGTGTGTGTGTGTGTGTGTGTGTGTGTGTGTGTGTGTTTAGTTTCTATATCATTTATTTCTGGTCTAATCTTTATTATTTCAATTATTTACAACATTTTAAAATCATTTTTATTCCTCTAAGTTTGGCAGTAATATCCCCTCTTTCATTTCTGATCTTCATAATTTGAGTCTTCTCTCTTTTTCTTTTTCTTGGTCAGCCTAGGCACGGATTCTCAATTTTTAAAAATCTTTTTAGGGACACCTGGGTTGTTCAATCGGTTAAGTGTCTGACTCTTGATTTTGACTCAGCTTGTGGTCTCAGCATCATGAGATCAAGTCAAGTGTTGGGCTCCATGTTCAGTGTGGAATCTGCTTGAGATTCTCTCTCTCTCCCTCTTCCTTGGCCCCTCCCCCACTTGCTCTCTCTTTCTCTCTCAAATAAATACATAAATAAAATCTTAAAAGATATTTTTAAAGACATGACTTTTCATTTTATTGATTTTCTCTATTGTATTCTATTTATTTATTTAGCTTCTAATCTTCAATATTTCCTTCCTTCTCCTTACTCAGTTTTTAAGTTTTCTTTTACTAGTTTCTTTAGGTGGAAGGTGTGGTTATTGATTTGAGATCCTACTTATCTTTTAATGTAGGATTTTATCAGTAAAATTTTCTTCTAAACCCTGCTTTTGCTGCATCCCATGAATTTTGGTAGGCTGCAGAATTGTTTTGATTCATATCAAAGCATTTTCTATTTTTTTTTTGTAGTTTCTAATTTAAATGATTGGTTACTTAGGAGAATTTTGTAAATTTCTGCATACTTTTGAATTGTCTATGTTTCCTTTAGTTATTGAATTTTATTTTATTTCATTGTACAGAAAACATATTTTGTATGATTTTAATACTTTTAAATTTACTGAAACCTATTTATGGTTTAACATATGGTCTATCCTGGAGAATGTTTCATATACACATGAGAGGAATGTATACATTAAGGCTGTTGGGTATAGTGCTCTGTTTCTATTATGTTTAATTTATAGTGGTCTTGAAACCATCTATTTCCTTGTTGATCATCTGCTAAGTTGGTCTCTTCATTATTGAAATAGGTGTATTAAAGTTCCTAATATTGTCCTGAGTTGTCTGTTTCTCTCCTCAGTTCTGTCTGGCTTTACTTCATGTATCTGAGGAATCTGTTATTACATACGTGTTTATAATTATTTTATATTCTAGATGATTGTTGACAAATTATCATTATAAAATGTCGTCTATAATAACAATTTTTGTTATAAAGTCAGTTTTGTCTGATATTAGTATATCCATTCCAGCTCTTTATTTTTTTTTTTGGCTATAATTTGCATGGGATAACTTTTTCCCATTTTTTACTTCAAAACAATTTGTTTATTTTTACCTATAGTGTGTTTCCTGTAGATAGCATATAATTGGACCATGTTTTTTAATCCATCTTGCCAATCTGTGTCTTTTAAGAGGAGAGTTTAATTCAATTTACATTTAACCTAATTACTGATTATGAAAGACTTCTACCATTTTTCTCATTATTTTTATATGTGCTATATCTTTTTTGTTGTTCCTGTTACTCACTCCATTACTGAATTATTTTGTGTTAGTTGCTTTCTAGTGTGTCATTTTAATTCCTTTGTTCTCTTTTTTACTATATATTTTTAAGTTATTTTCCTAGAGATTACTCTGAGGATTACAATGAATATCTCAACTATCTACTTCATATTCATACCAATTGAATTACAGCACTGTACAAAACCCTTGCTCAAATATAATTTTAAGCTCCCTTTCTCCTTTGTACTGATTTTAAATAAAAATCACATCATTATACATTGTAGGCCTGTCAATCTACTTTTTTTTTCATTTTTTTCCAATTTAATGATTCATCTCTTACATGTAACACTCAGTGCTCATCATAGCAAGTGCCTTCCTTACTACTCATCACCAATTTAGCCCATTCTCACCCACCTCCTTCCATTAACCCTCATTTTGTTCTCTATCATTCAGAGGTTGTTATAGTTTGCTTCCCTCTCTCTCTCTTTTTTCCTATATGTTCATCTGTTTTGTTTCTTAAATTCCACATATGAGTGAAATCATATGGTATTTGTCTTTCTTCAACTGACTTATTTCGCTTACCATTATACACTCTAGCTTTATCCATGTCACTGCAAATGGCAAGATTTCATCCTTTTGGATGGCTGAGTAATATTCCATTGTATATATATACCACTTCTTCTTTTTCTATTGATGGATATCTGTGCTCTTTCCATATTTTGGCCATTGTTGATAATGCTGCTATAAACCTCAGGATGCATGTATCCTTTCAAATCTGTATTTTTGTATCTTTTGGGTAAATACCGAGTGGTGCAATTTCTCAGTCATAGATCGTTCTATTTTTAACTTTTTGAGGAAACTCCATACTGTTTTCCAGAGTGGATGCACCAGTTAGCTTTCCCACCAACAGTGTAAGAGGATTCCCCTTTCTCTACATCCTCGCCAACATCTGTTGTTTCGAGATTTTAGCCACTCTGACAGGTATCTCATCATAGTTTTGATTTGTATTTCTCTGATGATGAGTGATGTTGAGCACCTTTTCATATGCCTGTTAGCGCATGTCTTCCTTGGAAAAATGTCTATTCATGTCTTCTGTCCATTTCTTAACTGGATTATCTGTTTTATGGATGTTGAGTTTGATAAGTTCTTTATTGATTTTGGATACTAACCCTTTATCAAATATGTCATTTGCAAATATTTTCTCCCATTCCATAGGCTGCCTTTTAGTTTTGTTGATTGTTTCCCTCGCTGATCAAAAGTTTTTTTAATCTTGATGAAGTCCCAATAGTTTATTTTTGCTTTTGTTTCCTCTGCCTTTGGAGACGTGTCTTGAAAGAAGTTGCTGTGGCCGATGTTGAAGAGGTTATTGCCTGTGTTCTTCTCTAGGATTTTGATGGATTCTTGTCTCACATTGAAGTCTTTCATCCATTTTGAGTTTATCTTTGTGTATGATGTAAGATAATGGTCCAGTTTCATTCTTCTATATGTAGCTGTCCAGTTTTCCCAGCACCACTTATTGGAGAGACTATCTTTTTCCATTGGATATTTTTTCCTGATTTATCAAAGGTTAGTTGACCATAGAGTTGAGGGTCCATTTGTGGAGTCTCTATTCTGTTCCATTGGTCTATGTGTTTGTTTTTGTGCCAATACCATACTGTCTTGGTGATCACAGGTTTGTAATATAGCTTGAAATCAGGCAACATGATGTCTCCAGCTTTGTTTTTCTTTTTCAACATTCCCTTGGCTATTCAGGGTCTTTTCTGGTTCCATACAAATTTTATGATTGTTTATTCCAGCTTCTTGAAAAATGCCAATGATATTTTAATAAGGATGGCATTGAAAGTCTAGATTGCTGTGGGCAGGATGGACATTTTAACAATGTTTATTCTTCCAATCCCTGGGTAGTATAGATATTTTAAAAATGATTGTTCTTCCAATCCATGAGCTTGGAATGTTTTTCCATTTCTTTTTGTCCTGTTCTATTTCTTTCATAAATGTTCTGTAGTTTTTAGAGTACAGATCTGTTACTTAAATTTTGGTTAGGTTTATTTTGGTTTTAGGTTTTGGTTAGGTTTATTCCTAGGTATCCTATGGTTTTTGGTGCAGTTGTAAATGGGATCAATTCCTTGATTTCTTTATCTGCTGCTTCATTATTCGTGTATAGAAATGCAATAGATTTATGTACATTGATTATATATCCTGCAACTTTAGCTGAATTCATGTATGAGTTCTAGCAATTTTTTGATGGAGTCCTTCGGGTTTTCTACACAGAGTATCATGTCATCTACAAATAGTGACAGTTTGACTTCTTCTTTGCTGATTTGGATGCCTTTTATTTCTTTCTGTTGTCTACTGATGCTAAGACTTCCAGTACTATGTTAAATAACATGGATGAGAGTGGAAAGCCTGTGTCTGGTCCTATTCCCCAAGAACTGAAGTTTTGTAGCAGTCTATAATCCGTAGACTTGGTGTGTGTGAGGGGTTTCTGCTGGTCTTTTTGGGGAGGGGGCTGCTGTGCTGATTCTGGGAGGACTTGCCCTAGTAGAAATGTACCTGCAGGGTGCATGGGGGCAGGGTTTAGTGTATGTGGCTCCAGTCTCCACTGGGGGACACTGTGTTGTTCACTGAGGATCAGTCCTTGCTGATGGGTGAAGGGGAAAGTGGTGTCACCTTTCCTGGTGGGGGGAGATAGTGCCCACCACTCTTCAGGAAGCCCTCACAGAAGAGCAAACAATCTCCCCTCTTGTGTTCCCAGTTTCCATCAGATCCCTGACTTCACCCTGTCTGTGTTCAAGCTGTCTGTCTGCCAGGTAGCACAATACTCCTGTTTTAGCTCAGGTTTAGGGCTGGTTTCAAAACCCCAAGTTTTAAAGACCTGTATGGCATGGACCCACACTGAACCTCTGGGGGAGGGTCTTGCCATGCTGTGGCCAATGATTTTTGTCCCAGAAAAGCAGTTGCTTGAAGGCACAGCAGTTTGAAGTTTATGGTAAAGCACAGCAAAAAAATTGGCACCAATGTTTGCAGTCTCAGCAGGTGTGTATGTTCCTATGCTAGTGAACAGGACAGGAAGTTTGCACCTGGCAGCTCTTTTGTCCCCTGGAGAGGCTGTGCCACCACTCACAAATGTTCTTCCAGAAGGGGAACTGTTTCTACATGTGTGACCCAGGGGATCCTCAGACCACATTGTCTGCTCCCAGGCCTCCACTCCTTCCCCACCAGAGCACTGCTAAACCCGCCCAGCATGACCATAGCAATAGCATGGACTTCTAAAACTTCAGTCTTTGAGCTCCACTGCTTATAAAAACGTATGGTAGTAAGCCCCTCTCCTTTTCCCAGTCAGTGGTTTTGGGGAGAATCTCTCTTGTGCAATCCCCTGTGCACTGATTTCACTCTTTCTCTTTCTCTCTCTCTTCCTCTTCTCTCCATGATCAGGGCTCCCTTCCCTCCCCAGCACCTGCAAATCTTTTCACCCCCAAATCAACTCTCCACAGCTCCTACCTTCCACGATGTGACCATTTTTGTAGCTGTAGATGTGCAGTTTGTTCTCTCAGTACTCATCAATTCCTTGGGTGTTCAGAATGATTTGATATTTATGTTTTCAAGGAACTAGGCAAGCTTAGGGTCCCCCTACTCCTGTGCCATCTTAACTCCTCCCCACTTGATGGTGTACCACAGTTCTCTTAATCTTTGTTCATTTTTCTTCATTCTTTTAAATTTCTGCTCCTAATACTAGATAATCTTAGTTGACACATTATTAAATTTACTGCTTCTTTATTCTTTCAATTGAAATCTGCTCTTGAGTACCTCTAATCCCTTTTTCATTTTAGTTATTGTCTTTTTTCAGCTTCAGAAC